TGAACAGGGGACACCAGGTACTGGCTAAGGCTTCAAAGCCCTCAGCAGGTTGCCCTGAGCAGAGACTCTGTGGACACAATTGTTCTAAACTTGGGGTCCTGAAAGGCAGACCCACCCCCGCCCTGACATGAGCCCCAGGATGGGCACAGAGGTCGCCACCTCCGTCTCCACGTGTTTGCCGTGGGGACTTGGCGGGGGGGTGCGGGGATGCGGTCTGATTTTCCTGCTCCACGCCACATCATCCTCATCCCTCGCCCTGATGTGGGATTTTGGGAAATCCTGGACTCCGACTCCCTTACCCAGCAGATCTCCCTGCCCCAAAAGCCCAGGATGAGGAGGTCGGAGGGACCCCCTGGATTTGCAGGCCCCTCTCTGTGGAAAGCTGTTCATCCCTGTGGCCGCCCAGGCTCCCAGATGCTCCTTTGGGGGGTCGGAGGGGATAGAAATGCCCCAAAGATCCCTCTACTCCCTATACCCACTAGCTGAAGCCTGGGGGCTCCTGGGAACCCCCAGGTGATTAGTAGTTGCTTCCTACCAAGAGCTTTTAGGCCCTGTTCCCAAGGTTGGCGTGATCTGATCAATTGCTCTTCCTCTGTGTCTGGCGCATAGTAAACACTCAATAAATGCTTCCACCTGGGCCGAGGCCCAAGGAGGGGACCACCTTCCTGTGGCCTGATGCCTGCCCCGGCCAGGAAACCTCCCAGGCATGGCCCCCTCCCCGGCACAGGCCACAGCTGAGTGCCCTGGCTGGTGACTTCCTGCCTGGAGCTCCTGCCCGGAGCTGCCTGAGCAGTGCTTCACCCCTGAGAAGGCCTTGTGTTCGGGCTCCCGTGACCCTCCCTGCCTGGCTCAGCCCATGAAGCCAGGCTCTGCCTGTGGCTTCTTGTAGCAGGCAGGTCTGACGTTCTCTGTAGCAGGCGCTCCTCTCTTCTAACAATAATAGTAATAAAATAGCAACAGCCACCTGTTTCTTGAGCCCTGTGCCAAGCACCCCTCAGACATCAGTTCTTAGAATGCTCCTAGTGAATGCCAAGTACATTAGCCCACTTTACAGATGGGGACACTGAGGCTCAGAGAGGGAAGCCCTCTCTTCTGCATCACACAGCGAGGAAGTGGCAGAATTAGGATGTGAACCCAGATTTGGTTGGTAGCTCCACCGTAGAGAGGTCATCTGTTGTGGTGGGTTTCTCGGAACCCCTTAGCCTTTTCTGTCAGTCCACAAAGGTCAGGAGCATGATTCCAAGAGTATGACTGTCAAATAGCAGCCTGCCTCAACCCTAGGAGTTCATTAATTCATGCAACTAATATTTCTGGAGCACCAGCTCTGACCAGGCCCTGCGGAGCGTGCAGGAGTGTGATGGCCCTCGGCCTGATGGGGGCAGACCCCCGGGCTGAGGGAGATGGACAGTAGGCAGTATTGCTCATGTATAGCTGGCGCTTCCAGCAGAGCGAGTGGGTTCTAATCGCAGCTCTGCCCCTCGAGGGCCCCGTGACCCTGGGCAAGCCATTCTTCCTGCACCGTGGCTTTCTCTTCCATAGAATGGGCATAATGCTAGGATTGCCCACTCTGGTGGGGAATAAACAAGTGAATAAATGCAAAGTGTTTAGCACAGAGCAGGGCACATAGAAAGCGTGAAATAGTGTCATTTATTGATGTTTTAAAATTTTCGCCCTGTGGCTATTTTCCAACCACCTGGTGGGTTTATGACCTGGATGGAGGAGCTGAGGACTCCTGACTCCAGCAGGAGCTGAATGAGACCTCTATATCCCCTCCTCTGGATAAACATTCACAGGGCAGTGCGTCTTCCTTATGTGCATTTGGGCATTGATCAAGTGTTTTGGGGGGCCTTGTGTGTGGGGTTTCCATTAACCGCTAGCTGTGGGACCTTTGAGCTTCAGTTTCTCCACCTGTAAAATGGGAGCAATTATTGGCCCTACCTCCTAGTACTGTTGTGAAGCTTGGGAGAGTTGATGTTTTGCAAAAGCAGTTAGAAAAACACCTGAGGTATAGCATGTGCTGAGTACACACCACTCTTCCTATGGAGAATTGGAATAGGGGGCCTGGTGAGGAGGGCTGCCAGCCACTGCCTGGGCAGTGAGGGAGCTTGGAGCAGGCACAGCTGTTCTGAGAAGGCTCTTACCAGGGTTTGGTCCTGCAGCTGGGCTTCAGGACTCTGATGTACATGGGTGGACAGGGTCAGGTGTTCCAGGCAAACGGATAGGCCTGGGTGCCCAGGAGGTGGGTTGGCCCAGCGAGAGGTGGTCACTGGTGGGTGCTGGCCACCGCACATCTGCCAGAGGAGCCAGAGGTTGCAAATCCAGCTGACCTCTGCAGGCATTTATTGGGCTCCTGCTGCATGCTAGGAACTGGGGATGGAGCTGGGAGTGGCTTCTGGCACGTAGAGCTCAGTGTCTGGTGGGGAGATACTCACTAATTAAACAATCATTGCTATTGAATGAGAGCACGTGACCAGTGTGCTGAAAGACAAGTTCAGGACTCAGTCGCCAGTGAGCTCAGGGAAGGCTTCTCTTGAGTGAGATTGGAAGCAGACTGGGATCAGGCAGGGCAAAGGGACACCTGAGGCAGTTGTCCAGAGGCAGCTGATGCGAGGGCACGTCACACGGGGTCTCGTGGATGGGACAGGAGCTTGGGTCTGGCATCTGGTTTCCCCAACCTGTGAGGACAGTGCTGGCCTCACCTGTGTCAAGGCGTGGGGTGGCCGAGGGCTTAACTGAGGACAGGTCGCCCACACATGCAGGTAAAACCCTCCTCTTCACCAACAGGGGTGGATTTCTTGGCAGAGCATGGTGGCCAAGGGCACACGTGGCCCCTCTCCCTTCCCTTCTGCCCACTGTGTACAAAGTGCCTACGATGTATAGGTGCCAAGGACCCTGTGATATGCAAAAAGTCAAATGTGTGCACAGCACCCTCCCAGCTGGTGCAGTGGCACCCACTCTGTGCCGTCTGGGCTGTCTTGCTGTGATCGGCTGCAGGCTCACCACCACGGCCTGGAGATGTGGAGTGGGGTGTGGCAGAAAGAACCCCGGTTTCTAGGTTCAGATCTTCACCTTGAGTCCCCTTTCAAGGCCTCCTTGCAGCCATCTTAGGAGGTAGATACTGTGTTGCTCCCAATTTGACAGATGAAGAAACAGGGGTTCAGAGAGGTCCAGTCAGAGGCACGCAGCCAACACTTGGGTGTGTGGGTGTGTGGGTGTGTGTATAATGTAGCAGCAGGAGAGCAGGAATTTCTTTCTGGTTCACTGCTGTTATCTCCAGGGCCTAGCACAGTGGCTGACACACAGTAGGCCCTCAGTAATATTTGGGTGGAGGTGTCTGTGTGTGAATGAGCAGCCATAACTGTGTGGTCCCCAGCAGGGGCCCGGGCCCAGCCAGGCTTAGCTGGAAGGACAGACAGTACTGATGGTAACTAGAGAGGTCCAGGGTTCAGCACCGTGGACAGCAGAGGGTAGGGGGCTTCTGCGTTTTGTGTGGGAGCCCCAGTTGGGATGAGCAGGCAAGGGTCTGCCTGTCCTGACGTTCCCCCATCAGAACAGGAAGTACCTTTGCACTCCTTGTGAGTCTTGTTAATTTATCCCTTTTTATTCGTTTTATATTTATTTATTTAAAAAATAAAGTTTATTTTATTTATTTATTTTTGGCTGCATTGGGTTTTGTTGCTGCGTGTGGGCTTTCTCTAGTTGCAGTGAGTGGGGGCTGCTCTTCGTTGTGATGCGCAGGCTTCTCATTGTGGTGGCTTCTCTTGTTGCAGAGCACAGGCTTTAGGCATGTGGGCTTTGGTAGTTGCGGCACATGGGCTCAGTAGTTGTGGCTCGCGGGCTCTAGTGCGCAGGCTTAGTAGTTGTGGCGCAGGGGCTTAGTTGCTCCAAGGCATGTGGGATCTTCCCGAACCAGGGCTTGAACCCGTGTCTCCTGCATTGGCAGGCAGCTTCTTAACCACTGCACCAGCAGGAAAGCCCCTATATTTCTTTTTATTGACACTAATAATACACTCTTATTGTAACATTCATTATAAGCCTTATTAGGCTTTTCCTAGGTTCTAAGGCCTTTACATTTATTAACTCAATGAATCCTCATAACAGTCCTATGAGGTAGGTGCAATCATGGTCTGCATTTTACAGATGGGGAAAGCAAGGCAGAAAGAAATCACACACCCAAAGTGACACAACTAGTAAGCGGTTCATGCTGGGATTTGAGTCCAGGCTTCAGGCGCCATGTTCTTAGCCATATTTTCTAGAGACAAGTAGTAACAGTTTTCCTTGGTTACTTCCCCCCTTGCACCCCAGATTCTGGCTCCTCCCCACAGGTCACCACTGTTTCTGGATGGCGTTGCTCCAGCCACATGTTTCCTGCCCACCACTTAAATACATTTATGTACACATAAGAATCGGTAGTTTTGCTTTGTGTGTTCACGTAAATGGGATCAAACGGTCGTATTGCTCTGTGGTTTGCTTTTTTCCCTTGACGCTGTGCCCTGGAGATTCCCCAAAAGGTAGCATAGATCTTTGTCCTCCTTCTCCACTGCTGAAGCATATTCCAGCCTGCAGATGTACCACAGTTTATTTCACCAGTCTCTGACTGATAGGGCTTTAGGTTGTATTTATTTTTTCCTGTTATAAATGTGGGGGCAGGAAACGCCTAGCAGGGGATTGTCTTGTACATGCCTCTCTGTGCATGGGGGCAACTATTTCTCTTGAGTACTTAGAAGTGGAATTACTAGGTCTGAAAATGGTCCTGCCAAATTGCCTTCCAGAAAGGCTGTACCCCTAACAGTACTGGCAACACTGAAGGGAGTGCCCGTTTTGCTGCATCTTCACCAGCACTGGGTATTAACAGTAATTTTTGCTTTTTGACGTTGTGCCTGGTGACTAGCGTGTCTGGCGGTGGCTTTAAGTGGGTGTCGCTCACCCGTCCGCTCCCTCCTCTCTCACTCACTCCCCACCGTGTCTTTCAGCCCGGCAGCTCTACCTTGGTCTCCACCATGAACGGGCCCACCTTGCAGTCCTCCTCAGCCTCCTCCGCATCCTCGGCGGCGACGGCCCCATCCCCGCGAGGCTGGAGCGAGTTCTGCGAGCTGCACGCGGTGGCCGCAGCCCGGGAGCTGGCCCGGCAGTACTGGCTTTTCGCCCGCGAGCACCCGCACCACGCGCCGCTGCGTGCCGAGCTCGTGTCGCTGCAGTTCACTGACCTCTTCCAGCGCTACTTCTGCCGCGAGGTGCGCGAGGGCCGGGCGCCCGGGCTGTCGGGCACCCGGGCCGCCGTCCCCGCGCGCGACTACCGTGAGACTGGCCGCGGGCCCCCGGCCAAGGCCGAGGCATCCCCAGCCGAGCCGGGCCCCGCCGACCCCGACCCTGCCCCCGGCCTTCCCAAGGCCCGCAGCTCGGAGGAGCTGGCCCCGCCGCGGCCGGCCTGCTCCCTCCAGCACCTGCGCCACAGTCTCCGCCACATCTTCCGCCACCGCTCGGCTGGGGAGCTGCCCGCGGCCCCCAGCGCGGCAGCGGGGGAGGCAGGCGAGGCCCCGGCCAGGCCCGGCCTGGCCAGGAAGCTCCTGCCCTGGAGCCTGGCCCGGGAGCCGCCACCCGAGGCCCTCAAGGAGGCGACGCTGCGGTACAGCCTGGCCGACGAGGCCTCCATGGACAGCGGGGCGCGCTGGCAAAGGGGGCGGCTGGCGCTGCGGCGCGCGGGCCCCGACAGCGCGGACCGCCTACTGGAGCTCTTCGACCCGCCCAAGGTAAGACCCCGCGCACGTGGTTACGGGGGTTCGGGTGGTGACACTTTTCCAGCAGGCGGCCACAGAGTGCCCGGCGGAAAGTGCGCCTTCTTAAAAGTGAACTTTTCCCTCTGAGAATCATTTTCCTTTTACAGATAGTACAGAGTTCCCTTAGACGCTGCACCCAGCTTTGCCTCATGTTAACATGCTACAGTACCATGTACATCCGTCTTATAATTAAGGGACAAACATTGGTACATTACTGTTAACTGAACTCCGAGGTTCCTTTGGATTCCACTAGTTTTCCCCTAATGTCCCTCTTCTGCTTCAGGACACCATGTTAGATTTTGCTGTCATGTTTCCCTAGGCACCTCTTGGCTGTGACAGTTTCTCAGGCTTTTCTTGTTTCTGATGGCTTTGACAGTTTTGAGGAGCGCTGGTCAGGGATTTTGTAGAATGTCCAGGGGCACCATACATGGGCATCATGTGGGCTAGTGGCAGCCTGGTCCAAGGTCCTTGAAACCCCTGACCCAGATTGACCCTAACAAACAAGAGGATTTCTCCTAGGGATTTCAAAACGTCGTGGAATTCCTTGGAGCCTCCCATGCTTTGTGGATGTCTTATTTTCTTTCAAGTTTAAATCTTTTTGTCTTTTTCCTTTGCGACCCACTTAATTCCGGCCGTGCAGTTGAGGTTGAAGGTCACTGTGGTCTACACACCTGCCGGACTCCATCTTTGACCACATGTGTCAAGTTGTGCAGTTGAGGCTGAAGGTCACTGTGGTCTACACACCTGCCGGACTCCATCTTTGACCACATGTGTCAAGTTGTGCAGTTGAGGCTGAAGGTCACTGTGGTCTACACACCTGCCGGACTCCATCTTTGACCACATGTGTCAAGTTGTGCAGTTGAGGCTGAAGGTCACTGTGGTCTACACACCTGCCGGACTCCATCTTTGACCAGATGTGTCAAGTTGATGGGACCATGTGGTCTTCCTTTCTCTTCTCTTTGTGGTTCTGTTATGTCCTAGGGCCTTGGTCTAGAGAGTGAGCAAAGCAGATCCCAGCCCTGAGGGGTCACGGTCTGGGTGGAGGAGACCAAATGATTATTCATTCATTCAAAACATACTTGTTGAGCACCTACACTGTACCAGGCACACACTAGGTGCTGGGGGAGCTGGCGTCTTGGTGGGGCTATTGAAGGACTAAACCTACAGATGAACATGGAATCAATTGTATTTTGTGCTCTGAAGGAAAGCAATGGGGCCTCTGGGAGGATAACTGAGGGGCCCTAATTTGGGGGTTGGGATGGGGTGTTGTCAAGGAACCCCCTTATGTGAAGTACCTTTCCTTTTGGACTTCATTGTGGGGTCCCATGCACATGCTGAGACGTGTGAAGTGTGTCTGAAGCTCCACGAGTGTCCCTTTGTTAGTACACGTGGTGGCCCAGTGCCCCAGGGGCTCCCTCATGCCTCTTCCACGTCAACACTCCCCCCCTCCCACACATCGACTCCCACCCCCACGGATTGCATTTCTCTGTTTCGAATTTCATATAAATGGAATCGTATAGTATATTGGTTTTTGTGTCTGGCTCCTTTCACCCAGCATGTTCTAGAGATTTGTCCATGCTATTGGGGGCATCAGAGTTTGTTTCTTTTTATCGCTGAGTAAATCCAGCCTGTTGTATGGATGTACCACAGTTTATTTATCCATTCACCGGTTGATGGATATTTGGGTTGTTTCCACTTTGGTACTTTTACAAATCATGCTGTAATGAAATTTGCTCTTAGGTCTTTGTATTGACATACGCTTCCATTTCCCTCCGGTAGATTCCTAGAAGTGCTAGGTCATATGGGAAGTGCAAGTTTAATTTTATATGAAACTTCTAAACGTTTTCCAAAGTGGCAGCACAATTTTGCATCCCCATCAGCAGTGTATGAGTCTTTTTTCTTTCCAGCCCTTCTAGTGGATGTATACTGGTATCTCAAATCTTGGCTTTAATTTGCATTTCCCTTATGACTCATGAGGTTAAGTACCTTTTCATGTGTTTATTGGCCATTGGGATTGACTCTTTTTTCAAGTGTTTGCCATTTTTATTGGGTTGTCTGTCCTTTCCTTATTGATTTATAAAAGTTTTTATACCTGAATGTACTTCAGCACACTTGAATGCACTTTCTTTGTATCATACATATGACCTCCTGCTCTGTGGTTGTCTTTTTTACTCCTTTAATGGAATCTTTTCATGAACCTAAGTTCTTTTTTTTTTTTTTTTTTTTTTTTTCGGTACGCGGGCCTCTCACTGTTGTGGCCTCTCCCATTGCAGAGCAGAGGCTCCGGACGCGCAGGCTCAGCGTCCATGGCTTACGGGCCCACATGCTTCGTGGCATGTGGGATCTTCCCGGACCGGGGCATGAACCCGTGTCCCCTGCAACTGCAGGCGGACTTTCAACCACTGCACCACCAGGGAAGCCCCCTAAGTTCTTTTTAAAAAATATTTATTTTATTTACTAGTTTATTTGGTTGCGCCCGGTCTTAGTTGTGGCTCACGGGCTCCTTAGTTGCGGCTTGTGGGCTCCTTAGTTGTGGCATGCGAACTCTCAGTTGTGGCATGCATGCGGGATCTAGTTCCCTGACCAGGGATCGAACCCGGGCCCCCTGCATTGGGAGCGCAGAGTCTTAACCACTGTGCCACCAGGGAAGTCCCATGAACCTGAGTTCTTAACTTTAACGAAGTCCAGTTTATCGGTTGCTTTCCTGTATGGTTAGTGCTTTTTGTGTCCCATTTAAAGAATCTTTGCCTACCCAGGGTCATGAAGATCTTTCTTGTCTTGTCTTTTTTTTTTTTGCCTGCGTTGGGTCTTTGTTGCTGCACGCAGGCTTTCTCTAGTTGCAGCGAGTGGGGGCTACTTTTTGTTGCGGGGCGCAGGCTCTCATTGCGGTGGCTTCTCTTGTTGTGGAGCACAGGCTCTAGGTGTGCGGGCTTCATTAGTTGTGGCACGTGGGCTCAGTAGTTGTGGCGCACGGGCTGGCTTAGTTGCTCCACGGCATGTGGGATCTTCCCAGACCAGGGCTTGAACCCGTGTCCCCTGCATCAGCAGGCAGATTCTTTTCTTCTTTTCCATTTTTGGCTGCATCGGGTCTTAGTAGCAGCATGCGGGATCTTCGTTGAGGCGTGTGGGATCTTTTGTTATGGCGCACGGGCTTCTCTCTATTTGTGGCCTGAGGGCTCCAGGGCACGTGGGCTCAGTAGTTGTGGCACTTGGGCTTAGTTAGTTGCCCCACGGCATGTGGGATCTTAGTTCCCCAACCAGGGATTGAACCCGCATCCCCTGCATTGGAAGGCAGATTCTTCACCACTGGGCCACCAGGGAAGTCCCGGCAGGCAGATTCTTAACCACTGCACCACCAGACATGTCCCTTATCTTTTCTTCTAGAAGCTTTATTGTTTGGGCTGAATCATATTGATGGGGCTTCACAAGATCCATCCTGAATTAGTTTTTGTGTATGGCATGAGGTAGGGGTCACAGTTCTTCCACTTCTGGCACTACATGCTGATGTGACTCTCTTTTTCCTGTTGGATTGCATGCAATGCTACTTTCCTCCTAAATCTAGTGTCTATCTGTGTGCTTCTGGACCCTCCTTCTGTTCCACTGGCCTATGTGTCTATTCTTATGTTAACACCACACTCTCTTAATCACTGAAGTTTAACAGTGAGTCTTGCGGAGGTGACTTTTTTTTTTTTTGGCTGCACCACGCAACTTATGCGATCTTAGTTCCCCAACCAGGGATTGAACCTGTGCCCTCAGCAGTGAAAGCACGGAGTCCTAACCACTGGACCACCAGGGAATTCCCACTGAGGAGGTGACTTCTGAACTGAGATCTTAATACTGAGATAAGAACCTCTGGGCAGCAGGAACAGCATAGGAAAAGGTGCTGAGATGGGAAGGCATTTTGTATGTTTTTTTAAAAAATGTATTTATTTTTATTTATTTATGTATTTATTTGTTTGCGCCGGGTCTTAGTTGTGGCAGGCAGGCTCCTTAGTTGCAGCTCGCTGGTTCCTTAGTTGTGGCACGCGAACTCTTAGTTGCAGCATGCATGTGGGATTTAGTTCCCTGACCAGGGATTGAACTTGGGCCCCCTGCATTGGGAGCATGGAGTTTTAACCACTGCACCACCAGGGAAGTCCCCAGCATTTTGCATGTTTTTAAGAAAGAAAAACAGAAGTGTGTTGGGAGCACAGATGGGGAAGATGGGGCGTGCGGGAGGATGTGCGGGTAGAGGGTCCCGTGAGGAGTCAGTATTTTATTCCAAGTGTAACACGAAGCCTTTGGAAAAACGCAAGTGCAGATAAAAACTTTACTCGTTTTTAAAACATCTCAAGGCTTCGACACCATGAAAGGCAAATAATGTCCCAGACACATGATCTTATCTGTATGATAAGGTGGGGTTCCCTATAAAACTTTAAAAACAACTGCTGCTGCTTAAAATAAACCATCTTGGAAAACCTAGTGTCAGGAGTCAGATGGACTCAGGTTCAAACAATGAATTAGCTTCTTTCTCAGCTCTGGGGCCTTAGGCAAGTGACATCACCTCTCTGGGCCTCAGTTTCCTCCTCTGTACAGTGGAGCTACTCAGAGTTCGCACCTTGTGTGGCTGTTGTGATAACTGGGAGGGCACATCTGCTGAGTGCCTGGCGCAGGGGAGGCTCACTGTTACTGGCCTGCCTTGTTATTATGGTTGCCATGGTAGTGAAATGATTTGGGGGCTAAGGATGCAGATTTACTTCTAGTGCTGGTTTGGGCCCTTATTGCCCAGCTGGGATGCATGATCAAGGCTTCTGTTCTTTGGGAACCCTGAGGGTGGGATCCTGGTCAGACTCCTCAGGGCTCAGAAGTGGTGTCTGGCCTTGGAGAAGCAGGACCCGGAGTGGCAGCTGGGTCCCTGAGGCTCGCCCCTCCCTCCAGGCCGCCTGGGCCTCTGCCGTAGGCTTGGTGGTTGCGGTGTGACCTGGGGTGTCCCC